AGATTAATGGCCCCTTATTCTCCTGTCATTATTTTTGTCCTTCGTCGTGACCAAGGTGAATACCTAGAAGAGACCAAGCGCATGACCTTACGCAATACCCCGAGCCTGGTATCATACACCACGTGAGCACTACACAAGTTTATGAAACGTAAAAACTGCGTGAAATTGTATGTCATGTTTTATTCCCTCTGGATAGAGGATACAGTGTTTTATTATGTCCTTCCCCTATGCAAATCTGTCTTAAGGGCACAAATATTTATTTAAGCTCATTACTATGGCCGAAACGGTTTCTTGGTTCATAATATTTCCCAAGCTACCGCAGCTGCTGAAGAATACATTCACTTCAGTGTACTTGGCCGATCATGCGTACTTTCCTCATTACCCACTTTCCGCGACGGGGACGTGAAACTAAGCTTTAGGGAAGATTCTTTGAAGTAGCATTAATGAGCTTTTAAAATTGATCTCCTTTATATACACGTTTTACGTTTTACATGTTTAACAGTGCTTCGAATTTTAGTTTGTTCAACTGCTGGAGCATCGTGCACGGACTACCGAATTATCGAAAAACAATTTCTACGAAATTCTATCCCGGTTTTTCTGTTTTCATGGCAACTATAGGCGAGGTAAGTGCAAATGGGAAGATGAAAAAGTTTTTAATTTAATGATGAATGATAATTTTAATAAGCTTTGCTTACTTTGACAATTTAAATAATTTTGAAAGCATTTATCTGTTTTGTGTCATCAGGATGGTGACGAATACCCAGATGGCGCGCACTGTGTACCTACTTAAATACACTTGCAAATTTCACAGCTAGAGTTAAACGGAACATCGTCATTTTTAGCGGTCTTCTAGCACTACTCACCATTTTGAGCTTTATTTAGATGCTCGTGTTGATATCTTCGTTTTCAGCTTGATGTCTCGGTCATATTCATTTATATAAATTACGTTGTGATATACATTATGATATATGGACATGTCTTGCAAATCGTAGAATAACATACTTGACATTAAGAAAAATAGCGTCAGACGCGGTTTACTTATAAACAACGCAGAAGATACTATGGTCAAGTCCTGTGACTGATCAATACCGACGTTTCGGTCCGTATATCACAGGCCTTCTTCTAGGTAGGTTGGTAATTATGTTCCGTGAATGTGGTGCGTGCTGCTGGTTAAATGGTTTTTTGTGTGACAGGGGCAACGAGGCTCATATCCGCGCATAGTTTGTATCCTTTGTCACGGTTGACGTTTTCGCAGTATTGGATGATTAAAGCCTCTTTTATCCGCCTGTGTAACCAGTGTCACTCTTTGGTGATGCCCTTGCAGCAACACCATTAAGGGAACGTGTCCTTGCTGAGCCTCATGCTGCACCATTTCGGAGACCTTCTCGCACTCTTCCTTGACTCTGCTGGATGCGCAGCTTCGTTTTCTTCCTCGGCCCTTCGTTATTACCTGTCGCTCACGCTGATCCGCGATGGTCCATCCTCTCCGGCTTGATTGGTGGGTCTTTGTTCTCTGCGTTATGCAGTTCCTTCTTTTCTGTGTGATATTTCCCGCCGTTGTATTGCAATTTGTAAACCCAGTCTAGAAAAGTTTTATTCTCAGGATTATTTAGTAACGCATTAAGTTTATCACGGCTATGTATGGGTAAATATGACATTAATATTATATTTAGTGTTAAGTATTTTTTGCAACTTTTCACTAAAGCTTTTATGATGCGGTAGAATTAACTAAGGTTTATTATTAGTGAGTGTTACAAATTGATTTAAGGTGGCTTATTTTACGATTATGATGTTATTAACGAATTTAGTTTGATAATTATTGTTATTACATAACGTTAATTCTATATACTTTATTTCGTCTGTAAGAAATTCATTAATACAGAGTTACGGTGCTCTATCCATTAAAGCTGTAACTACAGACCGTTTATTGTTTAAATGATTGTCTGATTTAAAGTTTAGACATTTGTCAGTTATAGTAGGTTTACGATGAACTTTTGTTTTGTAGCAGTTACCGGAGTTAATTTTTAAGGCATGAAGAAATGGTATGCTGGAGTTTTTTCTTTCAGTGGTTAACTCGATATTTTAAGGGAGTAGACTATTGAGAAAGTCTATTAACTTGTTTTCGTCACCACTCGGACAGATGGTAAAAATATCGTCATCGTCAACATATCTTTTAAAACCTTTGGAAAAGGTCAAAGTTCGTGTCTCGGGCCACATTTTCAAAGTGCTTCGTTAAACGTTTGGTAAGGATCAGGGAAAGGGGGTTACCCATGGGTGCTCCTTTGGTTTGTTTGAAGACACTCTTGTCGAAAGAGAAACTATTCGCGTCTTCCATATTTTGAGTATTGTTCACAATTGACGTACCGACCTCAGTTTCTTTCGCATTGTATAAAGGTATACCGTGTTTTACGTTTCTTTTTCAGTATGACCGCCAACGCAAGAGTTGCTCTAACTATACACTGACTTGTAATGCCAGTTATGTTTAAAATATGAGCTTTATGATGCTTTGAATATGATATGATGCTTTGGTGCTGATTTGATGCATTGTGATATATGATGATAATGTAATATGATGCTTTGAATAATGAGCCTCGCTTAGTTTTCTCTAGTCACGAAACTGTTGTGAAATGTTACAGAAAGTGCTTAACATTAAATATAATACTAACGTAGCGTACGAAAATTGTTATAAATTAATATTTTACTAGGTAACACTGAGAAAAATAATTTGTTGTACTTGTTTTACAGTTTTTAATGTAACTGAAAGAAATGATACGCATGAGAGACAGAGAACACCATCACTCAAAGGATAGTGACATACCTGTCGACCAGGACAAGATGGATGATTGAGTGGGGTGGGGGAGCGACACGTGGTAACGAAGTACTCCTAAGGAAAACAAATCGTCACCCAGTTAGATCAAGGAGCATTGTGGAAGCATCTCTGGGATTATACAGCACCATGCACGTTGAAGACTCATTCTGATGGTCAGAATGTATGAGTGTTGGCAGAAATCGACAGTGCGAACACGTCGATCATAGCGGCATTAATCAACCGGTCCTACGTCAGTGTCAGCGGGGAGAAAGAATACGAATTTGTACTGACCGATCCTTATTGCCCCTGTTATCAGTAAGCTGCTATAAACCGGCAGCATCTACCAAAAACTGGCCTTCCGACGCCAATGCGCCTCTCTGCTTTGAAGAAGGCCTATGACGCGTTAGGCGAAACGTTGGTACTGGCTAACCACTGGATGGACTAAATTGCTTGCGTTGTGAATAACCAAACTGCGTTTCTTTCTGTTTAAGACTGATATGTTCCGTATTTTACGTGTGTCTAATTTGTTTCGCAACCACGAACATATATCAAAGCAGCTATTAATGTTTTGTATTTTTTTTATCTGACACTATTCATATTTTTTTAATCCACGCTTCTCATGTTTTCTTTTGATGCTTTTGTTTTTTTGATAAGCCAAGTGCTTTGTTATGGAATAGGTTATGCTTCATGGAGTAATCTGAACTTATGCACCGTTGTTTTCATGTGATAAGTTTTATTTAATTTTACTATTCAGCTCAGTGTATACTTGTGGCCGATTTCGACTCGCTTGCCAATTCTTCATCTATCATTTGCACATGACAAGTAATTATGGATGCCTACCTCGAATAAATTTTAATCAATCGGACTTTGTAAATATGTTACATTTACTGATGCAAAAATTAACTGATGTGCTATTTATTATAATTGTCAGAGCGTGACAAAAATTTTAATCCCTAAAGGTTTTT